AAGGGAAGAGGGCGACAGCCTACGCTCCAACCCTTCTTGCAGGAAGGAAAGCACGACACCGATCGAACATCTCCGGGGGTCTTCTCCGCGAGAAGAGCACCAGTTGACGAAGAGGTTCCACTTCAACGCGTAAAGGTGTCTCGTGGACGACGCTCTAGCGGAAGTGATGGTTGCCGCCACGGCGGGTGGCAGCGAACTCAATCCTGCCTCGTCCCGTCCAGGAGCCACACGTGTAGCCTCCAGAGATCGGGACGAGGGTGCCACAGAGTGCCCCGTCTCTGAGTGAGTAGATCTTGTCTCAGAGGAATAGGCCATGGAGGTGCTGTCGCGAGGAGCATGAGTTCGGAGAACCATGTCTTGGTGGGCCAATAGGGGGCTACCAGCAAGACCTGCTCCTCGTCCTCCTTGATCTTGCACAACACCCGTGCAAGAAGGCTCACTGGGGGAAACGCATACTTGCGTGCCCCCGCGGCCAGCTCTGCGCCAGTGCGACTGTGCACAACTGGGCACAGTGGGATGAGTCCCGGGAGGCGAACAGGTCTATCCATGTATTACGAGAGTTCTTCTGACACTGCTATAGACCGCCATTGTAACTCAGGAATGCGGAAGTAACGCGTGTCGTGGACCCGCCCATTAGTTCCAACCACTGATAGTTCCAGCATTGAACCCCATTCATTTTCAGTGCTTCCGAAGTACGCTCGCTGGTAAATTAATGAAATTACTGTATTTTTTACTTTTACACACATTAGCCGACCTCTCGTGAATCTAGTTTGTAGTTATATGTTATGTAGCCAGATCTAGTAAATGTTAATTGGAAGATAATAGGTTAATTGCAGCGATAGCTTATGTGACCAACACTTCACTAACGTTGTTAGCTAACTTATGGTAACCTGATGTATATAATATTTTTTATAACATCATATAAATATATACCATATTATTATATTATTTAAAAAATATATAATTATATATGTATATATATATAATATTAGATATACATACACACACACAATTAATGGTTTAGGGTTATGCATGTGTTTGTTACAAGTTTATTTTATTATTTTTATTATTATAAATTCACATGCATTCATATATATATGTGTGTGTGTGTGTGTGTGTGTGGGGGGGGGGGGGGGGGGGGTTAGTTATTATGTGTGATTGAAACATGTGTAGGCCAATACACAGTACATCCTAGAAATGTATTTGTGTGTGTTTTCTGATGAATGGTTTAGTCTATGAATAGGGTATGAAGGGGTACATTAGCCATACTGAATTGAATCCCAACAGTTATGGATCATATTTAGGAACAAATATTTCACTCATTAACTCATCATCATCATCATCATCATCATCATATCTTTATTCAGGACATACATATTAAATGGTCCATAGCACTATACAAAATAAAGTACATTCAAAATAGAAAAGATACCTAACAGTTAAAATTTACCGAACATTACTATATGGTCATTATGGCATCATGGCTACGTTATGGGAGCAGTCTATATCCCTCCTAAATCATTTATTTGTACATGCACAGCGTAATTATTTATATTTTATGTTGGTTGTCATGATTGTAATCCTGAACGGGCCACCGGTCCACGGGTCTTTGCGTGATCACGGTAGGCTAATAGCTGAATCGGAATTTATAAGCAAGATCACGGGAAAAGTTGTGCTAAAATAAATAATTTAAGACGTCCATCATCAGATGAATGACATGGAAAAGTTAAGTTAGAGCCGCTAAAGCCAGTGCAACTACCAATGCGAACATGAACACAAGCTTTTCCCTCCAAAAATATAGCCTAAAAAACATCTAAGTTGTCACCCTGCCTCTCCAAATGCAACACTGACATTAACCAAATGCAATAAAAGCTTAAAAAGTACTTTGGTGTGAGTTTTATTTTATATTTACCGTTTAATAATGCAATCGCTGCTGTCTGTCCATTGAAGAGCATGACAGCCCGCGTCTGTTTTGGAACTATTGGGGCTTCCATGAACCACCTGACAGCCTTGCGGCGACATCAAAGTGTGTCGCAACTCTCTCAATACATGGCTCTGGCCTGGATGCCAGCCCGAACTCCGCCCACAACATTTTTTGGTCGGGAAGTTCGGTCTGGACTCGATCCATTGAGGAGTAATTATGATCAGTCAAAAAATGATCGGGCCAATCAAATTGCTAGGGCGGGCTTTACACGATGATGGACAGATGATCTGCAGAGACGTAATCATCACGTTATCAAAGAGCGCTTGTCAAAGATGACTGCAGCTGGAGAATTGAGATGTAAAGATTCCGCTGTCGCGTCTTTTGTAAAATAAATCGACAGCGCATTCATTTTAATAGACAAACAGAGAACTGCAATCAAGGCATTTGTCGATCGGAAAGATATTTTTGGCGTCCTTCCTACATGATTCGGGAAAAGTGTAACTTATCTGCTGGCTCTGACTGTCGTTAAGAAGATGGGATGTAATGAAAAGCCTGTGGTCGTTGTGGTTTCTTCTTTGGTGGCACTCATGGAGAAGTAAGTAAAAGAAGCAACACTCGTTATTTAACTTCTAAAATAAATAAAGTTAGGCTACGTTCTGTATTTGAAAACTGCGCTATGCAAAGGAGTTGACTTAGGGTGTACTCACACTAGCCAGTTTGAACCGTGCCCGAGTGCGTTTGACCACCAAAGCGTGGTTCGTTTGACTAGTGTGAGTGCTCCGAACCGTGCCAGGGCCCGGCTCGATTAGTCGGCCCTGGCCCGCTTGGAAGAGGTGGGCCAGAGCACGGTTCAGTTGGACTCGGGCGCGGTTCGCATGCAGTGTGAGCGCTAACCGTGCTGGAGCACGGAACAGGACGCGTGAAGTCATGGTTTTGGGAACTGTAGTCCGTAATCAAAGCTGCAAAGTCTTTGCTGCACTTCAGCTGGTACCTTGAAAACCTCCTCATACGAGCAGCACGATTACGTGAAAATTTTCGCGCCACTAAGGCGACACATCTGTTTAACAACAGGCTGTGAGAGGGCTGTGGACCACTGTGGACCAAACGACACAAAATTATCCACAAAGAAAACAGTGCAATGGACTGCATTGTGTTCAGAGAGTGCCGCTCTTCTTGTTTATCCCGAAACCGTCGCACCATAATGACGTAAGCGTGCTCCGGCACGAATGCTGCTGAAACCCTATGTGAGTGCAGGCCAGAGGGGGAGTGGGGAGGGGGGACAATCGTACTCGGGCCCGGGTCATGGCAACCGTGCCTAGTGTAAGTACACCCTTACTGCGTTGCTCTGATTGGTTGTAGGTCTACCGACTATCCAATTGAGTGCAGAGGTTTTTCTTTTTTCCTGGTTCAGTTAAGACACGCCTCATAATCAAACCCCAACGGAGGAGTTTCATTCTCATATTCTCTCTTGAATATGAGTATGACGAAGTCAGGCTAGCGAGCTGTAGTTGGGCTTATGCCGAGTTCAGACTGCATGATTTTAGCCACGATTTTGGCTCGCCGACAGGTTTTGAGAAGGCAAATCGGCGCTCGTTCACGCGAGTGATAATCACGCAGTGTGAATGAGCAAAGACGCGAACTGAGAGAATCACTGACGAGTCGCCGACGCCCGTGAGATATTTGGCATGCTAAATATCTGGACCTGTCGGCGATTCAAAATCCTGCTGTGTGAAAAGTGTTTTGACTGAAAACTACACCGGCGATCACCGGTGAGAGAGCAAGATACAGAGCAGCAGGGAGTTTGGGGAGGAGTTATAGATCACATATCAACATGATATGGCATTGTTTCAGAAAAAAAGCTTCTTCTCTGTCTATTTGGACACAATAAATGGAAGAAAAATTTGTAGAAATTTGGCAGGAGCACTCGTGTCTGTTTGACATTTCACCAGCTGTACCACAACCGGGTCGAAAAAAAAAAAAAGTCTCACGTGAGAACTCCGGTCTTGCACGTGTGGTGCCGCGTTGTTTCCTTTTCACATCTCACGTGTGTTTGTTGTGAAACGTAGTTTGCGTGCAGCGTGCTAGACAGAGTCTGTCGGCGATTTTTCTAAAGTCATGCAGTGTGAAACCTTCTGTCACCGATCAATCGTCCAGTGTGAACACAGCAGTGACTGAATGCTGGCCAAGATAGTCATGCAGTGTGAAAAGAACAGCGACCCGACTACTTTGAAAATCATGCAGTCTGAACTCGGCATTACCTGGTGACTCGACGAGGTACAAATAAATGTCCAGGTAAGACACCTCTGGCCACTGGGTGGGGTTGTTACCCCAATTTGACGCTGGGAGAATAAAGAACATGTTTTTAAATTGGCCAAATTAAGTTTGTTTATGTATCTTTCATGCTCTATGGCAGGCAGGGTGGACATATAATTACTTGACATGTTTTATGTAAGTGATTTCTTAAGTTATTTAGGCCTGTCGGCTGTGTACGGACGTTGGTTTTTGCCGTTATTTTGTATTGAAGTCTATGGGGAGTCTAGTTTGTTTTCCCCCAAAAGGGGGCGGGGACAAAATTGACAAGTCCCTGGATGTGCCGGTTGTGCGTATCTAGTAGCCGACATTCAAATCTGTTTGCGCTGAGAGAGAACAGTTGTCCATATGAAACTGCTTTACAATCAATCACACAATATTTACGTTACAAATATCCAAATGATTAACGTTACAGAAGTACTGAGATAAAAGTTTATAGTTTTAGTAAACATTCACGGTAGTAATCAAAACAGATGCAGTCAACAGAATTTACAACATGTACAGTATACAATGAGCGAGTGCATCATGAATGCCTTTTTTTCAAACCGTGTTTTTGTCTTATCTTGAATCACTATGTTAAGCCTGTAATAAGCGTTAATACTTGTTTCTTGCGCTTAAAGCGTTTCTTGTTTAGACTGGCCGGCGGATCACAGCCGCTGCAGAGTAGCCCAATGCCTGCGTGACTCATCATGGACATAAACAGAGAAAAGTAGCTCCGGCAACAATGTTCTTCCGCAAGACGCATGCAGTTCTGTTAGAGCGCCGATTTATCCAGTAATTAAATAAGTAAAGTCTTTATGAATCAATCATTCAAACCGTTAAAAAAATAATCTGTTCTATATACATCTTACATGTGTGTTCAAGCACATTCTACCACTTCTGAGAGGGAATCACTGTTGGAGATACAATAAGCAAGGAGAGGTCCTAAATTATTCTATAGAATGCAGTTTTTTTTTTTTCTTCAGAATTTTTTTTTTTGTGCAAAAATTGCTTGATAATATTTTTAATTTGTTTACATTACCAGTCTGTTAAACTCATTTCTCAAGTACTATAAGAGATAAACACAAAAATGATTGTGGATTTTTCTCTTACTAATATTTTTTTAATGAATGGGAACCGGAACCGAAACCGTTTGGTGGAACCGGAATCGGAACCGGAAAATTTCTGACAATTCCCAACCCTAGTTGGCCACTGTGGGCTCTGTATCCAGACACACGTTGACTGTGTTCACTTCTAGCATTGGTACGTTATCATTTTCATCATTTAGGTGAATAAATAGAGTTCCAGTCCCTGTCAGCGGCGGGACACCTGCCAATCAGAGAATCAAACAGAAATTAATTTGGAGTACAAAACATGATAATGTCATCCATGTTCATTCATGAGTTTAGCTTTCTTCATGATGAAAAGAGGACAGTTGTTTCACCCAAATTTTTCTGACACTGACTGCTATAGAATGTCCTGCAATTGGTGGCAGACTTCATACCATTATCATAAGTATGGTTACACAAGACTAATTGGATAGATAATTTTTTCATGCATTTTCCGCTAGATGGATGGAATGTTGGACCCTGTGTGGTTAATTATATAATTCAATTTAATTTGTAAATAATTTTGTAAATAAAATAACTTATTTGTCCAGGTATACTTTAAGTATAAGCTTGTGGTCAGTCAGATTTCTCTTAAAGCCACACCGTGGAACTCTACAACCTTTATAATATATTACCAAAACCCATTGAGATGGTAGATCGACTTGTAATAGGTTGAATGACGCGTCTGCCGTCTCCTGGAGGTGTCTGTATCGCTTTTACTTGCACTTTGTAACTTCGGGTTTCGGGTAGGAACCCGAGCATAAAAACAACTACAAAATTCGACCGCTTTACGGCATACGTCACTTCCCCCACCACCCACAACTTCCTCAGAATCTAACGCTAGTGCTCAACTCGCGTTTGACTGCCGTCTGTATGTTTTCATCATGCCGAACAACAGCTACAAGGAAGAAGGCAACTGTTTTATCAGAGGAAACTAAAAAAGAAAAGGGGAGAGTGACAAATTAAAAGCCAGGACGAGGATTAACACATTGGTCCAGCTTTCGCTTCCCTCGCTGGCGTGAGCTAACGGAGGAGAAAGAGTGCTCGACCGATGCGGACGATTGCCTGCACACAAATGCCGTTTCTAAGGTAACCCAGATAAATTCATATAAGCAGTGTAGTATTTTCTGGTATTCCGGCCACAGCCGATGGTGTTATGAGTGTAATAAAATGCCCACAGCCCAGTGTTCATTTCTACAAACAGCCCGCCTCAGTGCAGGGCTCGCACTAATAAAATCGGCTCATGTCAAATATAACGTTAACGTTACATTAAATGTAGTGAACGTCCCCACGACTCAGTAGTACCCACAAACACTAACATTACACACTACATGTCCCACGGTTGCTGTAAAAATAAACCAAAACACATAACTTTACAGTCAGCTCTGGCCGACGGTGTTTTCAGTGCAGTGAATGTGTCCGCGCTGTCCCGCGCCCACATTCACTCACAGACATGATAATCCCCACGGGGATCACCCCGCTCACTCTCTCAGCCGGCTGCTATAAGGGAATCAAGCGCGGCAAGGTTGCCCGGCCCGCCTCATACACTGCAGGCTGCAACCACCATAGACAGTAAAAGCACAAGCACGCACAATCTAAAGACACGAGAGGCTGACCGGTTGACTGTTTGTTGACTTTAATTTGCGACAGTGCTGCGGAGCTTGTGGCCTCTAGGGACGCTGGATGTGAAAATTACATGTCGAGCACCATCTAGTGGCCAAAAAGTTCCGCAGTGTGGCTTTAAGTCTGTTATGCTCACCAAGGCTATGTTTATTCGATCAGAAATGCAGTAAAAGAAATACCGTTGTGCTGCCTAATATTTTTTTGGAAACAGTGATAACTTTTTCAGGATTCTTTGCTGAAAAGTTCAAAAGAACAGCATTTATTTAAAATATAATTTTTTTGTAACAAAAAAAATATTTTTTGTCGTGTTGGATTAATTGAATGTATCTTTGCTGAATAAAAATATGAATTTCTATAAATCATCATCTTACCATCATCCACAGCATATAGGGTTGCTCTATAGGTGCCATTTATCCCAAATGGTGACTCTCTGTCCAGAATTTTATTCGTGGATACTAGTCCAGTCTTTGCATCAACAGTTATCCACCCATCAATATCTTCACCTTTAACAAATCTGAGAAACGAAGAAACACCAGATGAATTCACCTTTGATTATATGTGATCTTGTACCTCCAATAAACTACAGTGGCATTAGTTTTACACATATTATTAGCTTCTCGTACTTAAATGTGTTTATATGGCTTCCATCCATGTCTTTAGCAGTGAAGGTTGTAAGACTTGTTCCTGCTGCTATGTTCTCCATTATGTGAACGTGTTTAACAGAGGGTGTAAATACTGGAGGGTCATTGACATCAACATAAATGGTTACTGTAATGGTATTATAGAGGTTTTCAACACTCGTGCCAGAGTTTTGAGGTATTTTGTCGAGCTCCCAGGTACTGTTGTGCTGAAAAGTACTGTTGTTGAGCTTCGGTACTTGCTTTTTGACCTTACAGGAAAAGTAAGGAATTCCGTTCTGCACTCTGATGGATAGATTTTGGTATGTTTGCTCCTCATAGTACATTTGCTATGTGTTGGAATGTAGGAATGAGCCGAAAAATAAAGATAGTTTAGAGAGGTGTCAACATGAATGTATGCATAATATATTTCTTACACCATCAAAACATTTTACCTACCTTAACAACTGTTAAAATCCCCTCGTTTGTATTAGGGTCTGTTTCAATTTTGAATTGCTCTTTTTTATCTCCATGGATAGTGTATTTGGCTTTCCAGGCTTTTGAACCACGTGTGTCTTTGTCTGTTACTTGCAGTCGCAGAACTTCAACTCCAGTTTCTCGCTCCTTGACCTTCCCAGATCCCTGAAACACAAGTCAAATATTTGGTTGGGTTTTAAATTATTAAAAAAAAAAAAAAATATATATATATATATATATATATTTAACAAGAATATCACAAGCATTAAAACTTGAAAACTTCAATGTCCAATGTGAAACGAATCGGTTACCTAATGTAACCTCGGTTCTCTCTAGATTGAGGGAATGAGAATAGTAAAAGTTTAGCTTACGCTATGGGAAAGATTCATCTTCTTGAGATATTGAAGCCAAAAATAATCCTTAATTTTGTATCTATTGTCAACGCAGTGCAGCAGCTAGCAGACCTAGAGAAGGCTGTCTAGGGTGCTCATTGGCTGCCCTGCGGCAACTGCAGCAGCCTACCACTGAGCCTGACGTGATGCCACGTCCAATGAAGGGTGCTCGTGCCCTCAACGCGCCCTAGCCCGCCAGAATGTGTGTGGCTTAGTGCCTATAAGCGGGGCTGAGGCTGAATCTCTGGTTTTCATTGACTGAAACGAAATAGCGCTTGTGGCGCGAGCATGGCAGGTTACGCAATACGAGAGATCCTCTCGTAAGTGAACGTATCGGTTACCGTATAACGTAACCTCGGTTCATCCAGAGAGAACCAAGGTTACGTTAGGTAACCAATTTGTTCTCTATCGAGAGGTTCTCTCGTATTCCGTAAGTTTAGCTTACGCTTTGGGAACCTTCTTGAGTCCCAGAGCGGGAATAAAAATAATGACATCTCACTTAAACTGACAGCAGTTTAGCCTGCAGGGCGGGAACATCCAGGTTTTATAACCTGACAAAGGTGGACAGGAAGGCCCAGCCTGCCGCCACACGTCATGAATAGAAATTCTGCTCGACCATACCCATGAAAAGCTGCTCTGAGCGCCTGAAAGGGACAGAGCACGTAATATAAACCCTCAGCGCCCAGACCGGCGCTCTCACTATCGCTCTCACTATCGGATGCTGGCAGAGCCGGTAGGGAAATGACCTGTGCTCTGAATGGAGTGCCAATCACATCCATGTCTAGGTTTGAGGATGACTTTTGAGTCATTTGGTCCGAACTCAAGACACGCAGAGCTGACAGACAGCGCGTGTAAGTCCCCTGCACCTTTTACTGATGACAGTGTGATCAGAAAAATGGTTTTGAGTGATAGGTATTTTAAATCCACACAGTCTAAAGGTTCAAAGGCGTATGCTTTCAGGCATACGTTGATCAACCATACATGCAGAGACATGCGCTCTGGATGGAGATATACGCTCCAAGTCTGGTTCTAACAACGCAGGGCTATGAGGAGCACTGAGTGGCGCATTTCCTTGATTCTCTTGATAACCTGTGGAAACAGAGAGATCGGAGGGAAAGCATATAGTGGGAGGCTGGGCCAGGATTGGGCCAGCACATCCTCGTTCTTTGAAAAGAAATTTGGGCAGTGAGCGTTATCTTGTGACACAAAGAGTTCAACTTCCACTTTGCCAAAAAGACACCATAGCAACTGGACTGTTTGGGGGTGCAAGGACCATTCCCCCGGGGGAACATTGTTCCTGGACAGTTTGTCTGGGCTGTCATTCAGGTGTCCTGGCACATGACCAGCTGTCAGCAGATGGTGCTCAGACCAAATGAGGAGGCGTTCTGAGGCGTTTCTGGATCTGACACTGCCCTGACAGATCACGTAGGACACTACAGACATGTTATCCAAATGGACTAGAACGTGGTGGTTCTGTATGAACGGGAGGAAGCGGTTCGGTGCGTTCTCGACCGCTATCATTTCCAGACATTTTATATGGATCCTGGTCTGACCACAGGCCAAAGACTGGCCTGCCCTCGAAGAGAGCGCCCCAACCCGAGTTGGACACGTCTGTCGAGATGACCTTTCCGTACAAGACGGTTCCCATAATCACTCCCGACTGGTACCAGTCGGCCGCTAACCAAAGCTGCAAAGCTATAATGAGTCACTCTGATGCGCTCAAAGTCGACTCCCAAGCTCGGTGAGACACATGAGCGGCCAGCCAGCGTTGCAGAGGGTGGATGCGCAGCAAACCCAGCTGAAGTACCGCAGCAGCTAAAGCCATGTAGCCCAGCATCCTCTGGAATTATCTCAGAGGAGTGGTGCTGCCCTTCTAGAAAGACGCGGCCAGTCTATGAACATGGCACGTGTGTTGTGTTGATAAGCGAGCTGTCATGGCCACAGAGTGCAGTTCTATTCCTAAAAAGGAAATTGACTGACTGGGCAGTAATTGAGCTCTTGGTCCAGTTGACCGGGAGACCCAGGCTGTTATATGTTATCCTCTCACGGAAGTAATTTACCGTGCGTGCCAGCATCAGTTGTGCGCTCGATTATTATTGCCATTGATTTGTCGCCATAGAGGTGCCTCTCTGTAACCGTCAGCAGGGCAATGCGTCTTCCTAGGGCCTGAGCTGCAGACTTGGTAGCATGAAGGGAGAGCTCTGTTGCACTTCTCAAGTGCGTATTGGCAGCTGGGTCCAGGCCTTTCTCGTCCCATTCACAAACGAGAGCGGTTTGTAGGATCTGCAGAACAGCCATCGAGTGCCGTGTTCAAAGTGGTAAGGTGGTTAAGGGATATACTTTAAGTCGGTAATGGATTACCCGTTTTAAGTAAGCCTTATGTCTTATCTCCAACTGTGTAAGCCGCGTGCTTCTGTTAGCAGTGGTCGGGAATGAGGAAGCTAAGAAGTACCCTAAAGGTTCTTTTAGGGGTAGGGTTGGGAACCGAGAACCGGTTCTTTTCCAGAACCGGTTGTGTTTTTGAAAAAATACCGGAACCGTGCAAAATTCCTAAGTTTCGGTTCCGAAAACGGTTCTGATGCCGATGCGATATCATCATGTGGGCGAAGTGCTGGGAGTAGAAGACGCCGTCTTATTCCTAAATGACAAAAACTTCACCACTGAAGTTGCGATTTGCTCTCACACGCGCTGCATTTGTCACACACAGACACACGCACGCTGCGCGCGCCGACCGCCGAGTCATTCTCTAGCTAGCCTACATTCAAATCTGTTTGCGCTGAGAGAGAGAGAGAGAGCAGTTGTCGATATGAAACTGCTTTACAATCACACAGTCTCAATATTTATTTGTTTCACATATTCAAATGATTTCCGTTACAGAATTAGTGAGATTATAGTTTGAGTAAACATTGACGGTAGTGGTTAAAACAGATGCAGTCCGTATATTTTTTGTGTTCAGAATTTACAAAAATATATACAATGAGCGAGTGCATCATAATGTTTTTTTTTCAAACCCTGTTTTTGTCTTATCTTGAATCACTACGTAAAGCCTGTAATAAGCGTTAATACTCGGACTTCTTAAGACTGGCCGGCGGATCGCAGCTGCTGCGGAGTAGCCCAATGCCTGCGTGACTCGTCATGGACATAAACAGAGAGAAGTAGCTCCGGCAACAATGTTCTTCCGCAAGACGCATGCAGTTCTGTTTATTAACTGCTAGAGCGCCGATTTATCCAGTAATGAAATAAGTAAAGTCTTTATGAATCAATCATTCAAACCGTTTTAAAAAATAATCTGTTCTAGACACATATGTGTGTTAAAGCATATACTATTCCTTCTGAGAGGGTATTCTTCACTGTTGGAGATACAATAAAGGAGAGGTCTAAATTATTATAGAGAATGCAGAATTTTTTAATTTCCTTTATATATAATTTTTTTTTTTTTTTTGCAAAGATTGCTTAATAATATTTTGAGTTTGTTTACATTACCAGTCTGTTAAACTAATTTGTCATGTACTATAAGAAATAAACACAAAAAGGATTGTGGATTTTTCTCTTACTAATATTTTTAATTGAATGGGAACCGGAACCGGAACCGGAATCGTTTGGCGGAACCGGAATCGGAACCGGAACCGGAAAATTTCTCACGATTCCCAACCCTATTTAGGGGTGCCTACGCCGTCCAGCAGCGGCGTAGGCACGACCAACATGAGCAGACGTGGTCCTGCAGGCTTTAGACCGTAGGGCAGACTTTGAGCAACATCTCGCAGAGGGTGGACAAAGGTGCACAGCAACCTTCTCGGTGGCGCCGTCCACTTGGGAGAGTGACACAGAGACAGAAGAGTGGAGCCTTGAGGAGAAAGGTGCATTCCACGATTTAGTGAGCTCTGAGTGAAGCTCTGGGAGGAAAGGCACAGGCCTGGCTGAGGGCGCTTGATGGCGGCGATTAAGAAAGCTGCCATCGAGTCTGATGGGCACGGGCTCCTTAGGCGGTGACCACTCAAGTCGAGTCAACGGCCTGTAAGAGGAGGCGAATCAGCTCAGCGTCCACTCCCGTGCGGGTCCTGCCGGATTCCTGGATCCAGGAGGAGGCGGAGTGATTGGAACTCGACCAATCCTTGCTATCCAAAGCCAGAATGGAACAGCTGTTTTCTGCGACGAGTCCTTCCATCTCATCATCAGACGCGATGGCACAGTGGTCCAGCGGCTGCACAAGGGGGGAAGGAGAAGGCAAGGGCAAGGCTTGAGGGAGGGACTCCTGCGAGTGATTCGCAACGGCTACCGGCTCCGACGGCCTTTGAGAATGGCGCTTTTTCCTGCGCGGTCCTACAAAGGGCGGAGAGACAGCTTCGGTGGTGACAGCTTCGAGTCGAGCCCACAGGGTTGAATCTTTTTAGAATCCAGCGATGCGGAGAGCTTCGCTGATATACGCCTATTCTGGCAGGCTAGGATGCGTTGAGGGCGCGAGCACCCTTCATTGGACGTGACGTCACGTCTGGCTCAGTGGTAGGCTGCTGCAGTTGCCGAAGGGCAGCCAATGAGCACGCTAGATAGCCTGCTCTAGGTCTGCTAGCTGCTGCACTGCGTTGAAAATAGCTACAAAATTAAGGATGATTTTTGGCTTCAATACCTCGAGAAGATGAATCTTTTCCATAGGGTAAGCTAAACTTATGCAATATGGGAGAATCTCTCATAAGAGAACCTACTGTTTTGCCAGAGAACCCTGGAAGATTGTTGTTTCCGTCCAAAATATTGATTATCACCGTACTTGTACTTGACAATTCTATCTTTTCCCCTTTGTCCTTTGCTTCAACCAGGATTGTATATGTCTGAGCTTTCTGGAAAAGATTAATTTAGTAGATTTCTTGTGTAGGAATGAATACATATTAATAAAGCACAAAAATGAATGCATGTTATCTGAATGAAATGTAACTGGTAAATAATTATTACCGATGAAAGAAATTAGTTTCATACCTCATAGTCCAAACACCCTCTAAAATAAATGGTCCCATACTTTTGTCCTTTTTGCTGCTGAATATAAAATTCAACATTATCTGTTTTTGGTGTGAAAGACTTGATTGTTAAATCAAATGTTCCATTGTTTGTACTTGAATCATCTTCATCAGATGCCAGTACTGTCAGTACTTCTTTACCTAGGAAAAAATGTGCTACATGAATGTAAAGTAATTTCTTCACCCTCCAAGTATTTATTTAATATTGAAGAATATTTCACCTAGTCCTTATTTATTCTCTCTTATGTTGTTTCACACCTGTATGCTGTTATTAATGTTGTACTACAGAATCCAATCCTATCTGGACATACATGATTTCACATTGTATTTATATTGTCGCATACAATTGGATACAATCATACAATAACATCTGTAATGACGCCTAGACGTCTAAATTCAACTGTTGACCCCTTAAACCTACCCACACTACCAAACCTTACTATATACAGTATACTGTATATACGTATATTGGGGTCTGCAACAACATTGACAGTTTTTTGGTAACACTTTACAATAAGGTTCTTTAGTTAACATTAGTTAACTACATTAGTTAGCATGTACTAATAATGAACTGCACTTACAGGATTTATTTATCTTTGTTAATATTAACTTCAACATTTACTAATACTTTATTAAAGGGGGGGTTACTGCTTTTTTTCTTTGCATGATTCTGTTTATGGGGTGCAATATAACATATATTTGTGTTTTTTTTTTTTTTTAAAGTCTTATTTTCCATAAACTTCACCTTTATTGTAAGCAGCGCTCTCCTCTGTCCCCAGAACGACCGGTTGACTTCCTGAGTCTACAGTATGAAACCACTCCCTCAAAAACAGGCAGTGGACTCAGATTGGTTAGTTTGGGCCGGTGTGTGGTGATTGGCTAAACTGTCGCTCACGTTGTCCGGAAGGTTAACGCCCATTACCTTTACGGGCGAAACGTGCCTGTGCTCCGGTCCAGATGTAAATAATGGTGTCGAACTGCAGTATCAGTTTGAGGCAGAATCAGACCGAGAAAGCGGCGATGAAGAGAGTTAAACAGAACCTCACCACACACAGATCTTACAAAACATTTCTGAATGATAATTTGCTACATTTTTTAACTTTATACACATTTGTTTTACACAATAGCATCTGACTGGCAACAATAGCAACTGACTGGCTACTAATGTTGTACTCAAACAGCGTTGGATTTAGTTTATGTTCTTGATCAAATCGAAAATAACGTCATAAAGCATATATACATGAAAAATACGTTTAAAACATTAGTACTTATACAAAATTCAGGTCCATAGAATTTTCAGGTCCTATGTTTGGTCCTATGTTTGTACACGTTTGTCGTTGACACAAAATAGCATAACTAGTAGCCTATAGTGGCTATAAAGCCAGCGCTGGCATTTGAAAAAAATAAAACACAAGGCAACATCTAGAATTATACATGCAAATTTAAAATGATTAAGTCTTAGCCTACTTACAGGTTGTGGCCCAACAACTGCTGCCTCTGGTTTTAAAGTTGCAACTGCTTCATGTTTTAGTAACAGTTTCTTGTTGTATTCGGCATTGAATTCGTGGAGATTCTGGAAGCTGTCTTCCGTAAAATGGGCAGCACAGAGAGCTAAATTACGATCGTCATTTTCAGGAACATAATCAAACATAAATTGTATCCATTGTTGACGAAGTACAGCGTCCGTGGAAAGCCCGAACACAAAAGACCTGACAGTTGGGTGAACACAACACACTCGACGAGCCGCAGAAATATGCGCATGCCCTTTTTTGCATATTCCAGAGGGAGGATTGATGTAAATGTGTGGGTTAGTGACGTCTAAAACCCAGCTGTAGTCCCAATCGAGTCCTTTTTGTAGGCAATTATACTTCCTGATTTTTAAAAGACGATATCTCTGCTTACACTGAACTTTCACAACTTTGCAGATAGTGTTCATGCACCAACAGCAACATTACACACTATTTAAAATGAAAAAAGTGAAATCGCAATCAACCCCCCTTTAAAATCTTGTTCACATTAGTTAAATTAACTAACTTTGAACTACAGTAACATGTACAAACATGAACATGAACAAGCTTTATTTTTATTAAATAACATTAACAAAGTTTAACAAATACAGCAACAAATGAATTGCTCATGGTTAGTTAATGTTATGGTAAATGGACTTAATTTACATTAATGTTAGTTAATGTATTAGTACATTAACTAATGAACCTTATTGTGAAGTGTTACCATTTTTATGCTTTGTTGTGGGCGAACTATTCATTAAATTTGACAATTTCATAAATAAATTAGTGAAGTGCAAACTATACTGGGTTACCTTGAGGTTCTGACTCATTTACAGTCACTTGATAGACTGTCTGCTGAAATTCTGGAGCGTGATCATTTATGTCCAATATTTTGATATTAACCCCGAGCCTTGTATCCACTTCAGTGTTTGAGTAGTTTATTGCTTCAAATATCAACTGTAATTGAGTCCAGCGTATGTCAATATACAAGACTTTTTTGCAGTGTATTTACATGAATTTTATTGCTATTGCTATTATGAAATGAGTGATTTGTTCATTAGGCACTACTTACTTTGAGAACTTTAAATCCTTCAAAGTCAACCTTTCCATATACTAAAACATATCCTTCTTTATCAATATTGAGAATACCCGTTGGCTCTAAATCCACACCCTGACCCTTAAGCACGTATCTGACTGAATAAGACCTTTCAAGTTCAATCTGAAACACAAACAACATGAACACAAATCACACTTAAGCAGTACTTGTACACATATGTAATGTGAAAAACATTATACAAATTAATTGGAATTGAACGACAAAACCGCTCACCTTGCCTAGTATATATGGAAATGGACCAGGGTTTTCTTCCTCAATAGTGAAAGACTTCATGATCCATGCACGCTTCTGTCTTCCCCTGTCAGCCCACACACACACGGTCCAGGTAAACTGAGATAAAAAGAAGTCATAAGTAATGTTAAGAAAGTCATGTCAATGCGTGAATTTCACAAATTCCCAGTAGCACCTCATTGCATTACACGAGATCCAGGGGGCGGAGTTGATCTAAGGGGTGTAGATGGGTAGGATTAGGGGTGGGGTTAGGGATCAGGATGCGGAGATGGGTAGGTTTAGGTATATGTAAGTTTGGAGGAGTTGGATCTGGATACAGAGGAGTCCTCTCCCTGGATTTTGTGTTCTGCAGTGAGGACCATCTCCAAATTCCGTCAATAAAATGTCCTATTTTAGTAGAAATTGTAGTCCATCACTAAATACAATTTACATTTGACCTAACTTGTTTAACACATTTACCAGGGATTAAAGTTCTCCGTCGCTACGACGGATTTGCGTTAATTGCAGCGAGTCTATGACGGATATCCGTCAATTGCAGGGTTCCCGTCTGTCCTTATGTCTTAAATTAACTTTTCATAATTTTAAGGCCGTAAATAGGCTTTCATTTCGCCAACAGTGTGATAAATGTCTTAATTTTAGTTTGAATATGTCTTAAATTAAGGAAAGATGATGCGTATTCACCCTGCTGAGGGGGGATGTGATAAGGCCTGGAGTGGAGCGAAAGCACGTTCCTCTCTCCACTCGAAGCATTCTGTAATCACTTTGCTCATGGTCCACTCCGGTTTTTCAATTCCCGCTCACGGAAAAACTGCTCCCTGGACCCTGTTCACTCAATCTTGTCAGGCGAGGCTACAGCTCGTTTGCTGCGGTCCCATGATAGAAAACAGAACGCGGGTCAATATTGGTCGTTTCTCAATACCAAGTACGCAAACTTCGGACTTGCGTCCTTGGTAGTTCGGACTTGCCAAGTTCGACTCGGGAGAACAAACTCCCGAGGACGAGAGGACGCTGCTAACAGCGCGTTCTTGATCGCGTCACTCAGCACGCGGCTACTCTGGTTATCAACTCTGCCTTTTTTTCCATCAACACCACTGTGCCTCTTTTCATGGGCGAGGCTAGCCCATTTTTAGGGGTGCTTCAGCACCCCTAAAAAGGAGCTCAGCACCCCTAAAACTTGGAGCAAGAAATGTTGTTATTCTAAAAACTTTGTTCGTCTTTGACACGGTTAAATAATGTCCAAAACATACTCAGTAGTTTGTGGTTTAAAATGAAAATGAAAATCTTTCTCTTCTTCTAATGTTACTTGTACCTGCACCGCTCAACACGGTCGTCATCCAGCGCGAAACACACTTAACAGTTATGAGAATCCAGGCCGTTAGGTAATTTTGTGAATCAACTGAGACGCTCCAGAGCTGTGTCTCACACTTCTTTCCTTTCAGTTGTTCCGATTCCGAAACCATATCGGTGAGTACTAGAGTCAGTATCCTGAATCACCATGGTACACCTATAATAAGTGTTTATTTTCGGACTGTTTTAGTCTAGCGTGTCGCCTCCGCTGTGGAGTAACGTTAGCGGAGTGGCAATCGGGAGAGACGGGAGTTTTCCCGGTGAGCCGGTAGTGTTTTGAGGCCGCGAGGGCCGATCTGATAAAATTTATTTATTTATTTATTTTTTTTTACATTTTTGATAACGGAGCGTATATTTGCAGTAAGTGCCAGTCTTTCTAGTAAATAGATGCATGTCACGGAGTAACTACAGTGGCGTAGGTCGTAGGGCGTGAGTGAAGTGCTTTAAAGCAGTTTTAGATGCGCTCGACTTGAGTTCGAATCTGCCTTTTGCCGAACTCTCTCTTCTCCCTTTTCCCAACACATATGAGATGTAAAATGTATAACCTAACATAAAGGGCTCTAGTGTTATATTTTGCCAACAAACTAAAATCGAATCCATGATATGGCTTTGTGCCTATATAAAACAGCACAAGACTTTAAGAATAGGCATCCAATTTTGCTGGGTGATATAAAGAAAAGTTTGCACTTTGCTCACGCGATCAGCATGATTATATCTGGTGTTTTCTCCTAAATAAAAGCTCAAGGGTTTATTTCTTGCAAGTGTAGAAATATGACAAAAGTATTTTAATTTTCCTATAGTGTAATGTTGACTAAAATATACTTTTGAAATATTCATTTTCACTTATATAGTACATTTATTGGCTATATGGATTTTACATCATAGGAATAATTATATAAATCATTATTACATTATTATAATAATTGTTTAGGATCCTAAAACACCATTGATAATGTAATGTAGACTGAGACTCAACTAAAAAGATGTTTGAGCCCTCTTTATTGTCCTGGTACAAATCAATGCTTTTTCTTTGTTCAACGAGTAGTTCATGGGTTGAAGCTCTTAATTTTGATCTCTCAAAGAGCACGAGATTGATGCATTTAACCTTAAAATCTACAAAATTTTCTAGCGGGGGAGCATGCCCCCGAACCCCCCTAGAGGAACAGAGGCCACCCAACATAGTTTTACAAATTTGTTCATATCTTTAAGGTTGCCTATTTTTACTGTTGGCTGGGGAACTACCGATGAAAATTAGCTATTTTAGCTAACACAGGTACATTTTCATTGTTCTAATGTTGATTAATGTGTACACTGTCCCCCTTACAAATACATAAATAAATAAATAAAATGAAGAGAGAGAGGGAGCGTATATGGGTGTAAAATGTGGGTGGTGGCAGTGGGGCTCATTGGGTGCTCAGCACCCCTAAAGCTCTGACCCTAGAATCGCCCCTGCCTCTTTTCATTTATAAATGAACATAATTATTATCATAAACATATAAATGGCCATTCAAATGTGGTTCAGGCAACCCATATTGATTATCATATATAATATAACAACACGAAATATAGCTAAAACACAAACCTGCTTCTTTTTGTTTTCATTTTAAAAATATGAAACATTATTTATCATTAAAACTGACATTTAACAAACAGACAGGGTTGTATCGTTTTATTGTATTATGCGTACACATACAGTGAAGAGAATGCATAGTAATATAATATTTTATATATTTTAGAATATATAAAATTACACAACCATGTCTCTTTTTTGTTAAATGTCCGTTTTAATGCTAATATCCCATTCAAAAGTATAAGTAGCCTAATAGGTAGGCTATAATAAGCTATACAATGAGAAATAAAGCAAACAATTCAGTTAAACATAAGTCATCTCTCTAATAGGCTACAAGTTAAAGTTAAATATAGCTTACATAATAAAGTTATAAAACTTCACTTTGCCCTCAGCCAAAACAATTTGCCATGGCACAAACTATATATTAATATAGTTTAGCATTGTTTGGTCTCATAAGATAAATAAAAACATGCACTGAAAAGTTATGGTTGATTATTTGTCAAGATAAGTAATTGTTTTTCATAGATTAAAATAGCTTTTAAATTACGCAAACTGGCAATATTAGATCGGTTTTAAACATCTCCCCTTAAAACGCTATTGGTCTCGACTATTTAAATAAAGTTACAGGAATATGACTTGGCCTGAAAAAAAATTCAGTCAGAAGAATTTTTTTTCACTTTAGTCCCTGCATTTACACATTTAAGTAAAAATCCTTTATCATGTTGATAAAAAAAAAAAATTAAAATACAAAAAAAAAAATACAAAGAGAAATAAAAATTATAAAATGTTCTGTTTTCAACAACTGGAAGTGCATTTTACACTATGTCAGGGTTTCCCAAACCAGGGTTTGTAAAGAAAATGCAAGGGGCTTGTAAACTGATTATAAGTTAATAACAAATTAAATCTTAAACATGTTAAATTAAAATTAAACAATCAAAATAAAGCACTAACTTAAAAAAAATAATAATATTTTATTTTATTTATTTACTTTTTTGGCCTCTCAAATGTCCATTTAATTATAGTCACTTGACTAGAGGTCGGTCTGTGTTTATTCTGTAAAACTGGAAGCTTTTCTGAACATGTATAAGCTTTATGCATGAATTTAAGCATATTATGAATTTACTGTCATTTTGTGAATATTAAGTAAACATGTGTGTAATCAATAAAAAAGTTACTGGTATTTTAAAATGCATATTATCTAATCCTCTACAAGGATTTCATTTTTGTAATTTGATTACATACAGTAAACCTTAATGCAAGTACATCTCTCTCTCTCTCTCTCTCTCTCTCTCTCTCTCTCTCTCTCTCTCTCTCTCTCTCTCTCTCTCTCTCTCTCTCTCTCTCTTACAATTCAATTTACAATTCAAACCATTAAGTGCATGCTCATGTTAATGTGTCATTATCTCAAAGACATACAGGAATAAAAGACACTTTCATCCACAACCAGTAGTAACATGTATCCAAGTCAGAACTAATTAATTAACATACTTAACCTACAGTTCTTACAAAGACACACGGAAAAGGATCTCAGCTAATAATTCAATGGACATCAAAGATTAATTGGCTAATTGTACATAAACCTGGATTTCAACTGACTTTATACAGTGTGATAGACTTAGTTTCTGCAACATGAACACTATCTGTCTTGGAATAGCAGAGGAACATGAGCCGGCGTGATGGTTAATAGCTGTATCTCATCACACAGGCCTTTACTGGAAAAAAAAATTGGAGTAGGATTTACTTGAAAAAAGCTACACTGTAAAAACATATTGTTGGTTTAACTTAAAAAATTAAGTAATCTGGTTGCCTTAAAATCTTAAGTTCATTGAAATGGAAAATTGAGTTAATACAATGAAGGAGATTGATTTAATCATCAAAAACTCAAAATAATATGCTATCTGAACCACATTAATTATTTAAGTTGATTTAACAAAAGAAAAAATGTTGTGATTACAAATCATGAACATATATTTTTACAGTGCTTTTTTCACTTAAAATGCTAGTAAATTTACAAAGATTTGCCAAGTAAAAACCTAAACATATTTATCAGTAGATTTAATTAGAAATCTTTAAGTTAAATTTACTTGGCATATGGACTTAAGAAAACTTTACAGAAAATAAGTAATTTTAACTTGGCTAGTAAAAGGTTAATTAATATCGATTTAGTTGAAATTTCCTTTCCCTTTGCATTACATTTCACTAAAACAACAAATATTGAATTTTATTAGTCATTTATAGTATGTGCTTTACTTAGATCATTTAAGTAATTTATATTACATCATACCAGATGTTAAGCATCATGTGAATGTCTAGACCTCAATATTTGGTAGACAATACACAATGGCAGTACCATTTGATGGGTCATTTTTGTATTCAAAAAAATTTACTTGAAATTTACTCGAAAATGTCACAAAATGGCAAGTTACTAATACTGACAACAAAAATCAATGGTAAAACAGTGTAAATACAGCTGGAAACCAGTGAAAAATTAACCTCATTAATTATTCAAGGTCCAGTGCATGATGGGAACCCCAGTATCCGAAAAGTTGAGTAATATTTACTTAATTTTATTGAGTTGATGTTTACACTTTCATTTCTACTCGCTTGAATTAAGTACTGATAGGGAAACTTCGTTTTTTTGATTTTTGCCTGAACTAACTTTTTCATGTAAATTACATTGTTTTTTTTTTCAGTAGTATTTACTTCACCAAAAAATCATTTTTTACGGTGTTGAACTCACCAGCACCAGGAGCAAACTGACAGGAAGGGTCTTCATGTTGAAGCAGATCGTCAAGCAATCCAGTGAGAATGAGTCTGAGTTTCCTTCTTTTTCATAGAGCAATGGTGTTCACTGCTCATATAACAGATGGGAGAGGGGAGGGGATATTCAAATCAGGGAGGGCAGGGACTGGCTCAGTGCAGTTTTACTATCACTGATACACTATTATAATTTTAGTTCATATTTTGAATTACTTGCGTGTGTGCGCGTATGTGTGTGTGTGTGTGTGTGTGTGTGTGTGTGTGTTTGTTTGTTTTTTAACCCTCAGGTGCTCTTCGTTTCAGAGTCACACTTGTTATCTTCCCGGTCAAAAGTGACCGGACACCTAAAAATGAAATTTTCTCCATCCCAGTAAAACCAATGCAATTTATTTTTGTTCTATAATATTTATTCTTTTTAATTTAGTATTTTGAGACAATTTAATGGAATTTATTAATATTTATGCAATATTTATGGTTTATTTTTGCCATGGAAAAATACTGTATATATATATTATTATTATTATTATTATTATTTTTTTTTAAAATTTTAATGCAGTATTTTAGTTTAATTTAGAGTCTAGGCCTTCAGAAAAAAAAAAATTGAAGAAAATTAGCACCATCTGGTTACAGTATAGAGAAAACGAGTAGAATCATGGTGTAACCACTAGATGGCATGTACAGCTCTCTATGGAGAGGCATGTGAATTCCCCAGCTGTTTATGAACACATTTTTTTTTGTTGTTGTTGTTGGTGGATTTGAATATATAGTTGAAACAATCTCAAAAACTATTTTTTATAAAAAACAATTGACAAAAAAACAAAAATTAACAATTTTTTTTTCTTCATTTTTTTTTTTTTTTACAATTTCCCATTAATTTCCTATGGGGGTCACTTTTGACCAAAGACCACAAGTGGGACTATTTTTTTAAGACCCCTTAGAATGCTCAGCTCATGACCTCAATTTTTTTGTGTGTTCACATACATAATGCCATAAAAGTCACCAGGTTTCGTAACATTGCGATGAAGCTGTGATTTTTAAAAATTCAAAACATACTTTTTGTAATAAAAATGTATTGGTGTGTATGTGTATAAAAGTGTGTTTGTATGTGTGTGTTGGTGGGTGTGTCTGTTTTGCACTCTAGATGTTGTAGAGTGTCACCCCTTTCCTGCGGTGTACTTTTTTTTTTAGAATTGTGGCCGATTTGTAGATTGTACGTACAAAAATTCTGAGATTTTTTTTTTTTTCAATTTCCCATTCATTTCCTATGGGTCGGTCATTTTTGACAGAAGAGCAAAAGTGTGGCTCATTTTTTTACGACCACTTAAATTGCTCCAATCATGACCTCAATATTTTTTTTGTGTTCACATACCCAATGCCATAAAAGTCACCAAGTTTCGTAATTTTCTGAAGAAGCTGTGATTTTTAAATATTCAAAACAGATTTCTTTAATCACAATTTATTGGTGTTTTTGTGTATAAAGGTGTGTGTGTGTGTGCGTGTGTATAGGGGTGGCTATGTCTGTTTTGCACTCTTGATAGAGTGTCACCCCCCTTCAATGCTGTGCCCTTTTTCTGCATCGTGGCCGATTTGTAGATTGTACACACAAAAATTCTCAAAGTTTTTGTGTTTTTGTCAATTTCCCATTCATTTCCTATGGTTGGTCATTTTTGAACGAAGAGCACAAGTGTGACTATTTTTTTTACGACCACTTAGCCTTCTCAGATCATTTTGTGTGTGTGTGTGTGTGTGTGTTCACATACCCACTGCCACATACCCAAAAGTCACCAAGTTTCATAACATTCCGATGAAGCTGTGATTTTTTAAATTTCAAAACAGAAAAATTGTCAGTCAGAAATGACCGAAGAGCACCAGAGGGTCTATAGTTTTTTTTTTAAGTTTAGTTTATTTAGGTTTAGTTATTTTAGCCCTTATCTTAAACTAAACCAAAATGAGAAAAAATGGTAACGAGCTGAAATAAAATATGCTTAATTGTAATGTTATGTTGACATGCAATAGAAAAAATACACATCATATCCATAAATAAAGAATTCTTTCCATAGTTTCAGTTGAATCATGGCCACATTGTACTAATTCATTTCCCCCCTTTTTTATTTAGTCAAATTAGTACAAAGTGACAGATTCATTATTCATGCTTCGTAATCCAACAACAATCTCGTCAACAGTAACATTGAACTTAATTACTAAGGCAAAGCATGCATGTGAAATGCCTATATTAATGTTTTAACCTCTGCATGTCTTAATTTCTTGATTTCACCATAAACAAAAGCTAAACAAAAGTAGCTATAATATAAAAGTAGATGTTTCATTGAAGTGAAAATTTTATTTAGTTTAATTTACTTTATTTTACTTACCATAATGACAAGTTTGAAAGAAAAAAAAAATGCTTTTTAAGATATGCATCACAATGTCTGTTACTTTATTTAAAAAAATAAAATAAAAAAAAACACAAAATGTATGAAACCCATAACAGTCAATAAAACTAGTCACCATGTGTTTTGTACATCAACACTCTGGTGTCAACCAAAAATTTAACAAAACATAGTTAAACCTGAAACTGACTTTCTTTTTTAGTATATTACACAGTATTAATTAGAAAAATGTGCTGTTGTAACCTTGGGGAGCTGCTTAATTACAATTCTTTGGAAACATTGTTGAACACTAAATGACGAAAAATTGTCTGACGCAAGGCACACCAATTCCCCAAAACAGGCAGACAATGTTATTAGAGGGTGTAATGCGAGAACTTGCCTGCAATTTTACTACACATCACTGCATGGTTCCTGAGAACTGAACAGGCTTGGCAAGTTAAAGGAGTAGTTCACTTTTAAAAAAAACTTTTGCCGACAATTTACTCACCCCCATGTCATCCAAGATGTCCATGTCTTTCTGTCTTCAATCGAAAAGAAATTAAGGTTTTTGATTAAAACATTCCAGGATTTTCTCCATATAATGGGCTTCAATGGGAACCAAATGGTTCAAGGTCCAAATGAGAGTTTCAGTGCAGCTTCAAAGGGCTTTAAACAATACCAGACGATGAATAAGGGTCTTATCTAGGACCCTTCGAGTCATGCCTCGAAAAAAGATTTGTTCATTTTGATGAACGAGTTTGAACAGGAGAGTCACGAACACTCATCACAGAACAGAGCAAGGCGAGCATTTGTGCTTATAAAACTTTAACTTTTTTTATTTATTTTTTAAATAACCGATCGTTTCGCTAGAAAAGACCCTTATTCATCGTCCGGTGTTGTTTAAAGCCCTTTGAAGCTGCAATGAAACTCTCACTTGGAGCTTGAACCATTTGGTTCCCATTGAAGTCCATTATATGGAGAAAATCCTGGAATGTTAACATCAAAAACCTTCATTTCTTTTCGACTGAAGAAAGAAAGACATGGACATCTTGGATGACATGGGGGTGAGTAAATTATCAGCAAAAGTTTATTTAAAAGTGAACTACTCCATTAACACACGCTAAGTGAGTCTATTTTTTGTATTTTACAAATATTACCTTAGCAGTCCTTATTTGGTCAACTGTGTAATGTTACAGTATGTCAGTTGCTGAGATGTAACATTATTAAAAAACATGGATATTGCTATGTTTGTAACGAGTTAGCTTAAAGGGGAAATATTTATAATCAATCATAACTTGTTATGATTGATTATGAATATTTGGGTCAGTTATTTGGATTTGCATTTGTAGCCACTGCATCTTGGAAAAGGAGTGTCAAACATTGAAGTTGCATTAGTTTTCTTCTCTGTTGGATGAAGAAGATATGATGAACTTGCATGGGTAGTTTGACTCGGTTCTATGAAGGTTTTCTTTCACATTACTGATGGGAAGTCCGGTTCTTTTCCACGAACCGATTCTTTCGGACAGTTCGTTTTAATGAACCGGTTCAAAAAAAACAGTTCTTTTACGTCATCACGTAATGACGTCAATTCTATCAACCCGGCGGATAAAAATACTTTAAATTAAAGGCATTTGTAATCATAACTTCAGTTAAATAATAGTACAGATCGTCATAATCATCTTGGATAAGTTTCTTACATTTACATTTTGAAAACGAACCCTGCTGCAGCCTAGGCGATGTGCTAACGCGGATGTTTTACATGTTTTAAATATCTAAAATGCATAAATGGTCTTCATCATTTTATTTGTTATTAAATAAACTTACATTTCGCCAATTCGCCCTCTCATTTAAGTCCTGGGTTCAGCCGTACTGCGTGCTCATGTATCAGCACAGGATCAGAAAGAAAGAAAGTTCTGTTCAGAGACGGTGCTATCACGCATGCGCAGTATCTCCAGCTTCTCTGTCCTCAGGTTCTCCGTATCGAACGTGTCTGAAAGAAACAGTTCTCGGTTTTGTACTGGTGATTCAAGAACTGCAACCAGTTCTTACATTTACTAAGTAAGCAGTGCACCATTAAAACCTTGGCAAGAGTTTACATCAAAGATTTATATTGTTACTTAAAAATTAAATGAGCTGTTCCTGAAAATATTATTTTAGTATAATAATAAATGTTTAGTTTGACAGTTTTACAATCCAATCATTGTTTCCAAAGTTTGAAATAATACAGTGATAATACAGTAATTATGTGATAAACATGTTTCCAAAATGTTTTATTTTGTCACTCTTACTGATGTTCAACTAAATACTTAGAAAACGTTCATTTCGTCCCTCAGAAAAAATTGCACGCATGCTCAGCTCATCAACTCATCGGTTCTCTTCTCAGTATGTCGAATGTGTCCGAAAGAAACAGTTCTCGGTTCGGTGATCCGAGAACCGCTGTACCTGTTCGGTAGTACACGCATGCGCAGTATCAGCTGCTCGTGCGGAGGGAGGAGCCAAGATGGCGACTGAGTAACATCACTGTGCCGAAGCTCTGCACTCATTGTATATTTGACAAAAGATTTAATATGTAAAAGGGCACAAAATAATAATTTCTTTATTGATTCTAGAAAGTCTTTGTTCGACCTTACGTTTTTTTTTAACGTTTCAACGAGCGCGATGGATGAAGATAAACCTACTCGAGGTGCC